AAGAGATAAACACAATAAACGCAAAGCTAAACGTATGGAAGTGTATGGAAATCAATGATGTCATATACGTGTGGCACCACTCGGATGGGGGTGAACCCGATTGGGAGCCCGACCTCATTGAAAACGTGCAAAACAAAAAGTGGGTCTGTCTTAACCGCACCGAATACATACTCGACTGTCACATACAGGTGCGCTCACACATCACCACCCAACCCAACCCCTCTTACTATCTCTCAGTTAATAAGTGATACTATAATTAGGAAATTGAGGAAAACTGGACCGATTTGGCTCACTTCGAGACACTGCACACACCGCTGTACTACCCGTTCAACAAATTGAGCTGGCTACAAACATGGCTGCAACGGTGCGCCTCGTTTGGCATTCGTACCAATTGGACCTCAATCAACGACCCGAAGCCGCACAACGCCATGGCCTCCATCGACGCGCTCACCTTTATATTTGGCCACCAGACTGTGCCCATGAACTTCCGGTTCCGACAGGTGGGTCCGGCAACTCTGGTCATCACATACGATACGGACAGTATGGGCGGTCTGTCCGGTTGTCTCGTACAGTATGTGAACCCTATTGAGCCAAACAAAGTGCGGTTTATATTGAGAAACTATTGCGAGCGCCGATTCGGGGCCCGACTATTTGCTAAAGTACTCAACTTTTTTGAGATCTTTATGGTAAGTTTGGGGTAGGTTTTGCGCTATTGCTTTGTGCTATTATTATATAGTGTGTTATGATTAGAGTTTGGTTGAGGTATAGGTTGTAGTTCATGGTGAAGTTCAGCCAGGTGTTTTTATTCACACTAAATTCATGTTAGTAACAATTTAATAATCATGTATTTATAAGTAGTATTGAGAATCTCAATTTGAGATAAGCCGTAAAGAGATGAATGTGCTCGTTGAAGTGAGGCCACAATTTGAACACAGCTGTAATTTGTTGTAATTTATACACTATTCACATGTAATTTATAAATTATATCAAGTTAACAAATAACTTGGTGATTCCAATAACATCTCACAATAAAAATATTCCCTAACGGTAACTGAACTCACTTATGTTTGTCGATAAAATGCTTTGTTATAAATATAAATTTGAGTGGAAATAACTAGGTTGAATTTATATATGAAGTGCACCTTTTTGTTATAATAATTAATGAATTGTATAACCAAAACAGATTGAGAGGGATATGATTGTGTGGAATAACAAGAAGTTTGTAAAGAACGCCAAATACACTAAACTCGATAAACCCATCTCACAATTCCGGCGCTGGTATAGTCAGTTCTACGCCGATAAAAATTACAACGTGCTAGATTGGTAATGATCAAGCATATTTACTGCAACTTACATTCATGGTTGTAGTATCCCATACCGTTGTATTGATGGGTTGGTTTATTAAAGTTGGATTAATTATGAAATAAAAATGTATATGATTATTTAAAATTTTTTAAACTTGATATTTGTTTTTAAATAAAGTAGAACAACGATTTTAAATAATAAACAATTTATTTTAAATAATCTTATTTAATATATTACAATAAATATGAAATATTTTGCCATAACTTAATAACGTGTGTATAATATAACAATTAATTCACAAATAAAACATCATTTTTTCTCCGATAAACTAATACAACAAATAATTAAAAATTTTGTTTCTTGTGTTTAAATACATAAATTTAAATGATTTGTGTTTATATACAACAGTATTAATGCAATTTTATTATGAAATGATTACTATAATTAGTTATATTAATTGTGTTATTATTCTGTATTTTATATTGTAAAACATTTATTTGAGATTTAAATGTGAATACAATTTATTCAATTTAAATATCGTTTTTAAATGATATAAAATTCTGTACTTTTTTATTTAACTTCCTTATGAATAGTTGTTTGCAATTCATTGTATATAATATCATATAAATAGGCTTTGATTTGATTTGTTGTGGTAATAATCTCTTTGTATAAACGCTATTAACTAATGATTGATATTTAGTTTAGTTATCAATTTAGTTGCCAATCATTTTCAATGCAAACATCACTTCCTATAACTGTTAACGTATTTTGTATTTTAATTATTTATTATCAATATTTGGGACTAAAATTGCAATCTTTGTCGCAAAACGTAAAGTAAAACCATTTTATTTATTATACAAATATTTGTGCGATTGAAGCGGTGTTTTGCTGTAAAAATCAGTCTAAATCTAGTGTTAAAACCAGAGAATTGGGTGTAAATTGTATTATAATTGTTATATTTATTAATATCTATGACATTCTTGTGGCTGTATTTAATCAAAAAACATTGTGAATATTAGCAAATAGTCGGTATCAAAATAATGACAGTGTGTTTTCTATTATTATATCAATTTAATTCAGCCTGGTGATTTACACGTAGCGTTTAATAATTTATTAATAATAATAAATAAAATGTTTTGCAAAATTGTCCCAGATAATTTATACATGGTATAATCATCCAATACATTTAAATCTAGGTCTTGTGAGAAATAGGACCATGGTTAAAATCTAACCCCCCATTGCAAACATCTAGCACTCTCTATATTCCTGTAGTTATTATAACAACCTGTCGTAAGAAATGAATTGTCATAATACAATCGGTTAACGATTTATTATCCCGATTTACACCAATGAATAAGTTATTACTTTATTTGTTTTGTCAGTAGAAACATGTTTAAATTCACCTTGTTAAAATTTGTTCATTAAATTTAACGTAATTAACATATTTAACAACAAGTTATCAATATATTAAATAAGATCCCGAATTATTGTCATGGTATAAAATTGTGGATTAAAAGTCTTGGTTTTTTGTGTGTTTTATATACAATTATACATTACATTATTTAAATCTGTAACATCATGGTAAATATGTATACAGCGGTAAACTGTACAGAAATATCTATATAATTTATACATGTGATCAAGTATGATTTATAATTATGACCATAATTAATCTTATTCAAAAGTAACTTTATCCTCGACGGTCAAAAAGTCGCTGATATGCATATAAATAATCCAATACATGAGATTAAAGCATAGGAAACAGACCGGGAATACCACTCGCGAGTACTTGTCTATATCGGATGGACAGACGCCGAATAGGGTGTTGGGATTCTTGGGCCCCCGGAATGGTGTCAACTGAGTGGGCGTAGAGGGGGTCACCATATCGTCGCCACCGCTCAGCTCCAGATCGCCGTCGACGGCCGCCATCTGTTGTTTGGCTTTCAGAGACGGCGTTCGGGTCAGCGCTTTGGACCCCGAGATTCGGTACCGGATTTCCTGTTGTCAGGGAAAATGGTTTTGTATACTATTATTTATTTTATTGCATAAATGTATGAATAAATTAATTGTAATGAAATCACATTATTATTAATAAATTTACATAATTGGTATACTTTATAAAACCTGATAACTTAGTTGCCATGAATAATATTTTTAAAAATGTTACACTATTTATTAAAGTAAATTTATAGTAAGTTATAAAATGAATATAACTGACTATAAAACTTCAATAAATAGTGTAACATTTTAAAAAATAATTAAAATAAATATTAGTGGTTGAGCAATTTGGATTATTCACCTAACTCTAGCAACACTTAAAAACAAACAATATGAAAATGTACCAAACATGATACATGAACATGATCAAATGGCACACTTACCGGTACGGATACGTTACGGGGGGCCGGTATGCAGGGATTGGAGTAGAGGGATGTCCTAATGGGTGGTTCAATGCCGCTGTCAATGCTGGCGGCCACACACTTCTGGCGGTGTTCGCTGAGCAGTTTGGCCAGTTGTACACTCCTGGACTTACGCATGGCTATGCGTTTACCCATATAGCCCACAGTGGCGTACTCGATGAGGGCCGCGAACACCATCACGAAACACGTGCCCAGAAACACGTCGATTGATTTGATGTACGATATCTTAGGCATCGCCGCGTTTGTCGACGACATAAGGGTTGTCATCGTTAACACTGTCGTCACACCTAACTGTACCCGCGCTGGACTCGCATTCTGTGTAACACATGGTAGAAATGAGAGAGAGAGGGAGGGAGAGAGAGAGAGGGAGAGAGAGGGAGTGGGCAAAGCACAGAGAGTGGGAGTAATTGTGGAGGAAAAAGCAATTTAATTATAAATTAATATTAATTATTATAATTCGCCACAATAAATGTAATAGTGTATATTTAGTGTGAAATTTTGAATTTACTATATTTTTATTCGTAAACACACACACTGTATATGTCTGGACGAGTGAGTGGTTGTCTCGCAAACTATATGTAAAATGTGTATAATTTTGTGTGAATTTTTAATTATCGTTAATGAATGCAAACGATATAAAACATAAAAACCGGACACAAAATATGTGATAAAAATTCAGTCGATGTCCGCATTTGTCTCAAAACTGTCGTTTCGTTCACTAATTTTTGCGTTTGATTTTCATGTAAATTAGTTTTCGTATACATTTAATGAGTAGTAATTTAATTTTGAAATTAATTTTTTTGTCCAAATTCTGTGCTTAATGAAATGAATAGTGCGTTGAATATATAATTTTTGTAATCTATTAATACATGGTAAACATATACTTTACTTTATTTGGTAACTCACATTATTTATCGTGTACTGTAAATGCAAATCAATTTTAAATACGTTGAAAACTATAATATACTTTAGTGTACACTCGATATTGTGAATAATAATGTTTGAAAAATACAAGTTATACTGAATTATGGTAACTGAAAATGATTTCAGATGAATACACTAATTATTATGGTCGTTTAATTAATGTATCTAGATGAATGGCTGTGTTTACTGATTAGTTTTCATTATAATTGATTAGTGAAAAATAATTTAAATTAAATTAAATTATGGAACTCTCTAATTATAATAATTTTAAACAAGGTTCAGTTACTTTAAATATTAAATGCATGCACAGGCCCTTAGAGGTCACCCCATAGGCTTAGCATTAATTTGAGCTTAAAATTAATAAATCGGACTATAATTTAGACCAACTATAATATAATATACGGAATATTCTGATTATATTAAACATCAATTACTGGTAGAGAAGCTATTATTATAATTAAAATTTATAATACATTTTCCCTTTTGTGTAATACTGTACATAAGCTATATGAGTAAGCATACATTGTGTAAATTATCACCACGGAGATTATTTAGCAATAATACATATATTATTTATTACACAGAATAATGTCTAATTAGATTAAATAATATACAAAATTTTGTAATATATTACGCAAGAAAACGGTAAACAATTGTTTCGCTGTTGGCTTACGATTTAGTGTTAGTATAATATATTATTTTCTAAGAATTATTAAATAAAATTATAAAAATAAAACCCAAATTGATATGTTATGGTCGGGTATGACGTCTACACCTAACGGGCCATTCAAAGCCAATTAGGCAAACATTTTTTACTGGACTCAATGGGCACATAAAACATCACATTATTTATTTTATTATTTTATATTATACATATAACATTTTTATACATTTGTAATGTAAAATTTATGCTCCCATTTGCTATACACTGACTCTAGTCTGCAAAAGATATACTGTCCTTAATATAAGTTTAAATATTTATATTTATTTCCGTTTTGGTAATAATATTTCTAAAAATACTTATTGTGTAATAAACACGGTATAAAATATATACTACACTGCATGTGTGGTGGAAACGGCACATTAAACCTAGACAATATACGATAAGTGTGTGTGTTATGTTATAATTGGTTAAATAAGTATACTGTATTGTATGTAAAGTGTAATGTATAGTTTACATGATAGATGAGAGTATGCATACCCTGTGCAGCCAGAATGAGACCCAGGATATAATCACAATAAGACTCGCCGGTATATAGATTTGTATTAAATAATAGCCCATTGAGCGCACGAACTCAATCTCGCACACGAGCCGCGAATAATNAGTATGCATACCCTGTGCAGCCAGAATGAGACCCAGGATATAATCACAATAAGACTCGCCGGTATATAGATTTGTATTAAATAATAGCCCATTGAGCGCACGAACTCAATCTCGCACACGAGCCGCGAATAATTGCCTGTAAAATGACATTAATAATAGTTATACACATTGTTATTACCATTGCTTACAGAATATTCTGTACATATTCTGTGTGCGAGTGTTTGTGTGTGTGTGTGAGTTATGTAATATAATCATCATAAGTGTTACATAAATACATAACACAGGAAATATATGGGGAAGAGTGATAAGTAAAGTGCAAATTAATGACATACCTGTGCTGAGTGTCTCGATCTTTTGCATCTGTCGGTGACCTTTCACTTTGAATTGGGGTAACTCTACGGCCGCCAATTGGACGGCCTTTTTGCAGTCGTCGCCGCAATCAATGCCCCATTTGTACTGAATGTCGGCCATTGAATAGCCATCTGTGTTATGGAAATCAGTGTTTTTTAGTCAGTNAATTGGGGTAACTCTACGGCCGCCAATTGGACGGCCTTTTTGCAGTCGTCGCCGCAATCAATGCCCCATTTGTACTGAATGTCGGCCATTGAATAGCCATCTGTGTTATGGAAATCAGTGTTTTTTAGTCAGTGTTAAGTCTGGCTTTTATTGAAAATTTATTTCTATCGTTATATAACTTATATATATTTGTTAAAAGTAAAGAAATGTATGATTTCTTTAAAATGTATTTTTTAGTTTTGCTTTGCATTGAAGGCAAACATCGAGGAAAAAGAGATAACATTTTTGTATCCATTTTTCTTTTAATACCGTATAATAATAATAGAATTTCTCTTTGCATTAAATTATATAACATTATAGTCTTACAAACTCTTTTCGTCTCTCTCTCTCTCTCTCTCTCTCTCAAATAATCCGACATTAAAATGCAATTCCATATGTATTGTGCAATAATTTCGTAGTATATCTATAAACTAATATTCCTCTCCTTTAATACGTGGAAACAAAACTAAAAGACAAACTAAAAGTGGGTTTAATAAAATTTGAATCCCAATGGAAAGTGCATGAAAAACTGCATTATTTTAATGGCATTTGTATTCACATGCATTATAACAATATTAATGCAAAATACAATACATCCCATACCCTCATAGCCAGTGCCCGCACATACACTTTGTGCCATTGGATTAGAGCTTAACTATTATAGTCTCAATACATTATTAACACCATATTTGGCGCTACAAAACAATACCAAACACTTCGTTAACACAAGAATTTACTTTTCATATAACAGTTTGATATATAGATTTTTGTATATACATGTATATATAGTATACATACTATATATTCTGTATTGTTTCGTACTGTATATGTGTTACTATGAATGCAATGTTAACACTCGGCGTTCAGTTCAATATCAAGGGCTGAGCGCTATTTATAGCGCAGGGCTTAAGCCATAGCAAAGATTCTGTGCCCTTATTTGCAAATATTCTCTCTATTCTTATATATGTATTATATATTCTACAGTATATATCCATTGCTATCACATATTTAGGTCTTTCTCTAATGTGTATAAGACTTACTACAGTTGTCTTCCCCTCCAAAACATTTTTTCCTTTCCAATATTTAAGCCCTGTTTAGTGAAGAGGAGACGAGTATTCATAAAATAAGAGAGAGAGAGAGAGAGAGAGAGAGAGAGAGAGAGAGAGAGCATTTCATCTCTAATGGATTGATAAAAATCAATAATGCCTTTTCATATTCACTATTATATACAGATATAGTATTCGTACATTTAACTCAAAAGAAATACAGAAAACATTTTATACACAAATAAGCATTAAATTTTTAAATTTTATTCTTGCGTTTGTTATGCAATTTTTTGTGTTCAAAGAATTAAATAATCATATATTTTTTGAAGCTTATATCTGAGGATTATTTTATATTCATATAAATATATATCTCTTTTTAGAGAGAAATTATAGTTTAAGCGCATATACTGTATATGCGGTACTCCTGTTGTCATTTCGGCATTCAATTCATATCCCAAACAATACACACATGATATCTATTTAATGCAAATTATAATACATTATAAAAGAAAATAAATACATTAAAGAATATTCCGTAAAAGATGTATACATAAGAAAAATATAAATAATTGAATACTATAGAGAGAGAGAGAGAGAGAGAGAGAGCATTTCATCTCTAATGGATTGATAAAAATCAATAATGCCTTTTCATATTCACTATTAAATGCCGGGAAAATATATACACAAATAAAATACAATGAATACACAATATAGGGAGAGAAAACTGGTGAATACGGTATGATTTATATCTCATTTTTAGTTTAATGCAAAATAACCGCAAGAATAGCCCCCAAAACGGATATAATAATCCATATATTGTTTTAATACATTTTAAAATATTTTTAATCCTCGCTTACAGTGTTTTATAAAATGTGTAATAAATTATTTTATAGAAATTGTTTTATTTGAAATTATTTTTATGAATATATTTTATGAACACTTATGTGAGATATAAGTTATGTTAAGAAATTTGACATTTTTCAAAATGATATATTCCGGTTCACTGTATAGTGTATGATATTTTAACCTTTTTATTTTGGGGCATATATTCAGTACACAATGGTCTGTGAGTTTTAAATATAATTTTTGTTAGTTTTCAAAATTTTATTTAAATTTTATTCCTGCGTTTGTTATGCAATTTTTTGTGTTCAAAGAATTAAATAATCATATATTTTTTGAAGCTTATATCTGAGGATTATTTTATATTCATATAAATATATATCTCTTTTTAGAGGGAAATTATAGTTTAAGTACATATACTGTATATGCGGTACTCCTGTTGTCATTTCGGCATTCAATTCATATCCCAAACAATACACACATGATATCTATTTAATGCAAATTATAATACATTATAAAAGAAAATAAATACATTAGAGAATATTCCGTAAAAGATGTATACATAAGAAAAATATAAATAATTGAATACTAGAGAGAGAGAGAGAGAGAGAGAAAGAGAGAGAGACGAAAAAGAGTTTGAAATTTATATATAAAACTATAATGTTATATAATTTAATGCAAAGAGAAATTCTATTATTATATACGGTATTAAAAGAAAAATGGATACAAAAATGTTATCTCTTTTTCCTCGATGTTTGTCTTCAATGCAAAGCAAAACTAAAATATACATTTTAAAGAAATCATACAATTTTTACTTTTAACAAATATATATAAGTTATACGATATATAAGTTATATAACGATGGAAATAAATTTTCAATAAAAGCTAAACTTAAAACTGACTAAAAAACACTGATTTCCATAACACAGATGGCTATTCAATGGCCGACATTCAGTACAAATGGGGCATTGATTGCGGCGACGACTGCAAAAAGGCCGTCCAATTGGCGGCCGTAGAGTTACC